TAACAATATCTAATTTTCCTGCATTCATGGTTCTCACATTCCATGTCCCAATCACCAGTGTCTGCTTACAACTGTTCCTCTTCCTTTGTATTTCCATACTAGAAAACTCAACCTCCTTTGCCATTTTTGTTATCTAAACGTGTTCTGATCGTAGCTGACTCCACTGGGTTTTCGAGGCTGTAAATCACGGTAGAGATTGTCCATCCTTTCAAAGCCTAGAAGCCACAGGTGGATTCAAACAGAAACCACAAAGGTAAGGTCTGTGGGGTAAGAGTAGTCTGTCAGTACTCTCTATGTATATAAATATGTAACAAACTCAGGGGATAATTCGAAAAAACTAATGATTATCCTCTGTCTTCTCCCTTTTCTGCACAGTTGTATAATGTACATAAGGCTGTTCATTATTTTCCCTCCATTTCTGATGCCCCATTCTTGTTCATATAGTCCAGCTTCTCAAACGATTTTCTCAGTATTGAGTATCAAGTACTGTATTCTCAGTATACAGTAAAAAAATCATCCAGGAAGCATTAAAAGAAGATGGAAAGAGTATACAGAGTCATTGTACCAGAAGGAATTGATGGACACAGAAAAATTTCATGAAACAATGTATGGCCAAGAGCCTGTGATGGAAGAAGTTCAAGCTGCTCTGAAAGAATTGGAAAAAAAAACAAGACCCCAGGATTGGATAGCACATATTTCAACAAAGAGACGCTACCCTGGGTGTGCTCACCAAGTTGTGCCAGAAAATCTGGAGGATAATCACTTGGTCAACTGATTGGAAGAGATCTGTATTTGTTCTCATTCCAAAGAAAGGTGACCCAACAGAGTGTGGAATTTATTGAACAATATTATTAATAGCACATGCAAGCAAGATTCTGCTGAAGATTATAAAAAAACGACTGGAATAGCACATCAACAGAGAAATGCCAGAAGTCCAGCTGCGTTTAAAAGAGGCCATGGTACTAGGGATATTATACCTAATGTTACATAGATCTTGGCTGAAAACAGGAACTACCAGAGAAATGTCTATCTGTGTTTCATTAACTATAAAAAGGCATTTGACTGTGTGGATCACAACAAACTGTGGCTAACTCTGAGAAGAATGGGAATCTCAAAACACTTGATCATGCTTATGGGAAATCTATACTTGGACGAGAAGACAGTCCTTAGAACAGAGCAAGGAAACACTGCATTATTCAAATTTGGGAAGGGTGTAAGCCAGGGATGTGTCCTATCTTCATACTTTTTCAATCTATATGCACAACAGCTTATCTGGGAGAATAGACTCTATGAGAAGGAATGTGGCATCAGGATTGGAGCAAGATTCATCAACAACCTGTGTTATGCAGTTGACACAATCCTGCTTGCTGAAACTGAGGAGGACCTGAAGCACTTGCTGCAGAAGGTCAAGGACTCAACCTTCAATATGGATTGAAACTCAACATCAAGAAAAAAAAGATTCTTACCTCTGGGACGATTGGCAGGATCATGAAAGACAGTGAAGAGATTGAGATTGTTAACAGCTTTAGATTGGTTGGCTCCACACTCAAAACTCTTGGTACCAGCAGCCAAAAAATTAAAAGGCGAACTGCATTGGGAAAGCCTGCTGTCAGAGACCGCTCCAAAGTACTGAAGAGCAATGAAGTCAGTCTGGAGAATAAGGTGTGCCTGATCCTGGTCAAAGTCTTTGCAATTACTTGCTATATATCAGAAAGCTGGATAATGACTAGAGAAGATAGGTAAGGAGTTGTGCTGCTAACCCCAAGGGATGCAGTTCAAATTCATCAGATACGCTGTGGGAGAAAGATGGGAAACTTCCTTCTATGCGATTTACTGCTTCTGAAAATATGCTTCAGGGTCACGTTTCTAACTCAAGGGTGCATAGCAGCAGCAGCAGCAGCAGCAGCAGCAGCAGCAACAACAACAACAACAGTAATTCCTGAATTAATACTCTTTTCTTTTATACAGGTACTTGGATGTTATAAAAATAGCAAGAGCCCTTCCTATTCATTTCAACACCTATTTATATTCTGCTTTTGGGACCAAAATCCAGCACAATAGCTCACAGACCATACAGAATCTTATTGGGGAAGTTAAAAGGTTATAATCCAAGTTAATAGCAGAATACAGTCAGGATAGCTTCCAAAATGTACTTGGAGGGAGCTCTGATGGCCTAGTAGCAAGAAGCTGTGCTGCAATTCTGAAGGCACACAGTTCAAATCCACCAGATGCTCCAATGAAGGAGGGGTAATCTCCTCCTGTGCCAGTCGGATCCAATTCAACAGCATACAACGAGTTAAAAAAAATGTGCTTGTAGGTACATCAGCCTTAAGCCTCACAGCTTAAGGCCAGTGTTACAAAGTTCTCAGTCCTGCTAATATTGGCTCTCTTCCTCCTCTCAAATTGATCAACTAATTTGGGCAAAAGCTCTAAACTTAGCTCTAGTTCTGTCTGAGGGTGGGATTGGGGGTAGGAGCAGGGTGGCAGCCAGCTCCCTGTAATGTTAGGTCTCTCTGGTTCCCTGCTTTGGCTACAGCTGCTGCTAGCTGTAGCTAGAGCAAGAATGTCTGGTTCTAAAGGTGTCCTACATTCTCTTACTGCTGCTTCTCATCTTTGCCGGTAGGAAAGGTCTAATTTGATACTGGAACCATTGAATGTATTTTGGTTGGACTTGCCAATCCCTGTATAGATTGATGAGACTGGCCAATGCCCTTGTGGATAGGCTAATACATCTTATTGGCAAATTCCCACCCAGCCACATGGTCAAGTCAGATTAGATGCTTTGGAAAGTCATATAAAAAGACAAACTCCACAGATGTCTATTGTTGAGAATTGCTTATTTTGATCTCATGCCCTTTTAAAATGTTTTGACTTTTCTTTGTTGTTGTTTTTAGGTTTCACTGAGTAGAATCTAACTAACGATGACCCTATATTCAATAGAACAAAGCACTGCTGAGTGTGTACCATCCTCTCAATCAGTACTGTGTTTAAACCCATTGTTGTACCCACTGGGCCATCCATCAGTGCTGATGTCAGATGTGTCTTGGCTGAAAGCACAGAAGATCAGAAAGATTGACTACACTGGCATTCAACTGTGTGGCTCATAACAAACTATGGAGCCCATGTGTTAATCTGTCCGTAGACTAAGACACAGTAGTTTAAACAGAGCAAGAGGTCTGAAATCAGGAAAGTTGTGTGTCAGGTGTCAGGGTTATATCCTTTCACCAAACTTACTCAATGTGTATGTTAAGCAAATAATTAATTCGAGATGCTAGATAACATGAAGAAGTTAGCATCAGAAATGCAGGAAGCTTCATTAACAACTTGTGATATGCACATCCAGATTTTTCTCTTGGTGTTATATGGTATGTTCTTTAGATAATCTAGATTTTAAAAGTCTATTTTTCCTTGTATCATAAGGCACTCTGCTACAATGTAATCATTAATGTTTGTTTAGCAAAGGAGGGAAAGACCCTCACTGAGATGGACTGACACAGTATAAGTTCAAGTGTATCAGAGATGCTGAAGATGGCACAGTATAGGGCAGGATCAGATCTGTTATTTATAGGGTTGTTATAAGTTGTATTGACTTGACAGCACCTAACAAAGTACAGTAATATATCACAAGAATCACCCTGAAGTGATAAAAAACTGATTACCATTTTTGTGGCATATGGTGCTTATAATTTTTTTCACACTATCAATAACCCTGAGGTGGACATCTTTGTACTGAACTCTTTGACATATCTATCATTATTTTCCTCAGGATACAATTCTAAAAGAATCATTGGCTCAAAGGACATATATAATTTAAAGGTTTCTGGATATGGGCAGAAATTGATGACATAAAGTAGACACTTCTGTGTTTAGCAATAAATTACCTTCTCTTGTTGGAGAAGTGAATCACATTGTAACTCCTTTTGCTGTAGCTTTTCATGTTCTTCTCTTTCAAGTGTAAACTTCTCTTTTAAGTCTTGTATCTCAGCATTTAGATTTTCAATTTGTTCTCTATCTTTGATGGTCATGTCTTCTATTAAGGGAAAACATAAAAGATAGTGTAACTAGATACTAATATCTACTTTGAGAAATCCACACTCACATAATATTCTCTTAAATTATTTTCAGCATGTTATTAAAGGTTTCCAAAAGAGGAAGAGAAGTGTTCGTTTCCTGAACTCTAAAGTTTGTATATTAAATAGATACTAAAGAAACATTTTGCATCTAATTACTGAATCAACCGAAGCTACTAAGTTATTACTTCCCAAACTGGGACATCAGAATTACAGAATCTTTGAAAATAACTTTTAATATATAAACAAAGAACCAAAATGAGAAGGTCTCTTAGTAAAGAGCTAAGAATTTATGTATGTTGTTATTGTGTCCTGTTGAGTAGAAACTGACCCACAGCGTGTTTTCAGAGGCAGGAAAGTGCATGAGAGGAGACTTCTCATCCTTTTTACACAAAGCAGCTGGTGGACTTGAACTGTATGGCTACAGGATTACGGCGCAGCTCCTTACCACCAGGCTACCAGCACTCTCTTTAATTTACTTAAGTATGCTGAGTTATGGTGATAGAATAGTAATTTAGAGAAAAAAAAATTTTTTTAACAAGTGTGGTAGGATCTATAATAAGACCCCAAAATCCATTTTATAGTATCTAACAATTCTAAATAGCAACTAAGTAAGAAAGTAAAATACTGTAAAACTGCATATATTAAATCAAGACAAGTTATGCAATGACATAACAGAAAGCAAACATTCAAGAGTAAAAATTGTCATCTATGGAATAGGATTGACAACAAAAGTGCATTTTTCCTTAAAAATCGTATGTAATACTCACAGAATAATAACAGAAACACTTTAATACCTTTTTCTTTTTCAAGCAGCTGACATCTAGCATTCAGGTCTTCTATTTGTTTACACAACATCACAGCATTTTCTTGAAACGATTGTTTAAGGCTTAAAATTTCATGACTCTTCTCTTCTAAATTTTCTTCTAACTGGGCAATATCTACCTTGTATTTTTCCACTTGATCAGATGCAGAACTACATGAAAAGACATTATTTGGACTACTGCATATATTTTGGCTTAGGCAAATTAATTTTAAAAAATGATGAAAAGAACACATTTATCAAAAAGTCTAATTCAAAATTATTTCTATTACCTAATTTCTTCAATGTATTCTAAGAGTTTCATGGTTTCACATTTTTCATCAAGCTTTTCTTTCTCCATGGAAACACTAGAAAAAATTGTATATGTAATGCATATTAGTTGATCTATGAAATAATGACATATAATGTTTACTATGTAATAGATACTGTTTTACCAGGTAGACAAACTGCAGAGTCTAAATGTCTAGCCATAATTTTGTAAGTTCTCAAGATGATTTATATGTAAATATCGAGCAGGGAAGAAAACTTCCCAAACATATGCTGCTGTGAGGGAACTGAGGGAGAATGGCATTACAGTACTGCAAATGTTAGAGATAATAATTTCATAATTCCAGATTTTCTCAATCCACCACAAACAAAACTTTATTTTGTATACTATTAAATTCTACTGAAGATTATCCAAAAACAACTGGAACAGCACATCAGCAGAGAACTGCCAGAAGTCCAGGCTGGGCTTAGAAGGGGTTGTGGTACCAGGGATATTGTAGCTGATGGTAGATTGATCTAAGCTGAAAGCAGGGAATACCAGAGGAATGTACATCTGTGTTTCATTGACTGTGCAAAGGCGTTTGACTGTGTGGATCACAACAACCTGTGGCTGACTCTGAGAAGAATGGGAATCCAAGAACACTTGATCGTTCCAATGCGAAACCTATACTTGGCCAGGAGGGCAGTCGTCAGAACAGAGCAAGG